ACTTTGACACTACAGGGGGTCCTCGACTTACAGCTCTGCGACGTAACTTGAGTTTTGCTGTGAGTCACAAATTGTACAGGAGTACTTATGTCACTCACCTGCGCTAACACAGTGGTAAAATCATAATCTAAGACATAAACACATCAGAAGAGGCTGACTTACGCCTGGGAGCCACAGTGAAGGGCGAAAAGTTCCCAATAAAACAACACAAATGAAAGAAAGTGAATGTGGCACAGTCCAATGTCTCACTGCGTATACGCTCATCAACTAGTTCCCGTGCAAATTTGTTTTAACGCCATACGTTGTAATGTTGGAAGAAGAGTTTCTTAATCAAGTCATGGGAGATGAGGACGTAACCTCGAAACACCGTAGGCCCAGGACGTCGTAATCGAGTATCAGTAAAGTTGCTTTTGCTACTCTACATGTCCGCCGATACTAACATTTCAGTGATTTTACATTTGCTGCACCTGATCTCTCTCCTCTCCCTCCACTGCCTCCCCCTTTCTTCCCCCCTCTCTTATCTGCTGTCTTCCCTTATTTTTTGCTTTTACTCCCCTCTACCCACCCTGAGTCTGGGTCCAGAGACTGTCTTTTCTGTAGAAGGGAGCCTTTTCCTCCCTCTTATTTCCAAAGTGCTTGCACGTTCTCTGCTCCACGGGGGTTTCTTCTCTTTTCTGAGGATTGTCTTACCATGTTCTATGTTTTGTTTGTTTTATTTGGAAAATATTTTTATTTCAATTCTAATATTAAAACTGTAAACTCCATTATGAATTTGGGCTTTACAAATGAATTTGACTTGACTCTGATTTTTTTAGGGTGTTTATATTAAATCAAACTGATTTTTTAGGGTGTTTATATTAAATCAAACTGTTTTGATTGTAGGCTATACTAATAGAATTGTTCTGACTTAACTTGGCTTATTCTCATAATCTGTCTATGTTTGTTTGTCTATCCATCCATTTCCCTGTATGTATGTGATAATGGAGTCAAATATGAAAAGGCGAGAGTAAGTGAATAGTCTGCGAGGCTGTCCTGGGAATCAGGTATTTATCTTCTCTGCAGAGAACACCCAGCCAGGTCGTCCTGTTCTATTTGTTAGATTTAACTAGGTTTTAAAGATCAGGGCTATGTTATATAAATGTGTATCTGCTGTCGTGGCTTTGTTGCGCTTCCTTTTTCCATTCGCGGCTTGATTGACGCATCTATTCACCTTTAAGTGCTGCCTTCACAGCACTTCTCCACAGCTTTTAATTTCAAATGGACATTTTTCATGTTTCTAAAGCAATTTCTTTTTATTTCGATCCTTTCACTAAGGCTGAAATACCAAAATAAATGTAAAAATAATAACAGTTTGGTAATTTCTCCTCTCTGTCATCCTGCCTCTCTGCACACTGTCTGACTGCATTATAGAAAGGGCTTTTAAGCCCAGGGAACATTTTTCCGTATCAAAGGTTTTTTGAGTGGGTTCACATCCGTTGAAGGAAATATAATCTTATAGTCGTATTTAATCGTATCCTTTCCCATTATGCATAAAACAGCATGTTTCTGCCTATAACACGCAAATCTAGTACATGAAATAATTTTTAATCCTACATTCTCAGTTTATTCTCCTTAATACTGTGTGTATGAATAATGAGTAGTGGCAAAACGATAAAACCAAAATATTGTTAGAATATTTCATATAATACATTTAATAAATGTCCTGTGATGACCTGCAAATTTTTATACTTTGGATCTGGGACTTTACATGTAATAAATATACATATATATATATATTTAGGTTAGCCTCCTAGCTTCATCGTCACCCTGTGTTAGCATTCGTGCCTTGGTCAGTGGAATGAGTGGTACTAGTTTGGGAGGAGGGAGATTTGTGAATTTCACCAGAGGCTTTAAGACTGTCAGCTGTAGATGTAAGGATGAGAACTTGATCACGAGAGTAATGATACTCTGCGTCAAATACACGGATGGACAATACATGTGTATTCCAACACAGTCATAATGAAGTGTTTGTATGTTTAGTCTCAAACAGGCTGAGAATGAACCTGACCTGACAGTGAAGAGCCCTCCTGCCCCAGCTGCCCCGTCTACGGTCTATGACAGGCAGCACAGAGAAGCTCAAGTTCTCGACATATTAATAAAATATATCTTCATGATACAGGTCACGATACAGGCTGACAGTAGCGCTGCAGCTCCCGCTGGCACTGCTGCCAAGTCTGATGTTATCGGTCAGCCGTCAGAGCACTGCTGCTGCTGCTGATGTGGCTGAGAAATGTAAAGTAAATAGGGTTCATGTGCAGACCAGACAGTGTCATTTTATGAGCAGTGACCCGAAATAAGAGATGCTTCATTCATTCCTGTATCACTTCAGGATTAGCTGTGGGAGCTCTAATTATCATTGTCACCTTCTGTTTAATTAATATCTATCCACTGGCACTGAAAAGATTGAACACTTTGTCCAGCAGTGACTGCTGTGGACCAAAAATACTGGACTGGAGAATAGTCAGTATTTTCCCTCTAGAGAAACTTGAATGGATTGTGTATGTTTACTTTAACAGCTGTTGATTTTGATTCCTGTCAGGAGGAGCATTTAACAAGTTTTTATGGCAGACCGAACACAAAAGCTATGGTTCTTTCAGCGTATGCAGATGATGTAAACCTCTTTTTTTACAGGGAATAAAAAATAGATGTTAATAAAAGAAGGGTCCTGGTTGCCATTACTATTAATTTTACAGCATAAATCAGGGATTCCAAAAGTGTGGCACGTGCACCCCTGGGGTTTTGTGACCAGCCTCCAGGGGGTGTGCAAGACAGAAAATGTGATGGTGGTTTAGAGTGGGGTATTTTCTTTTTTTTTTTTTTTTTGGGGTTTCTTAAACATGAAAGAACTTCAGTAATTGGGCAATCAGTTAGATCGCAATATGTTGTAGCTGCTGTACAGCGATCGTTCAGAACACTTGTTGTGGGGATGTCCTGGTCAGGACAAGTCTGGTGAACATTCATACTGAAATATCTGTCTTTAATCTACAGAAAACGTTCATGGACGATTTATTCCTTCTTGGACAGTCGTTCTACTCCAGAGAAAGTCACACAAAAACGTACGTAGTTTTTTTTTTACTAGCTGGTAGCAGTCTTAAATCTGGATTGTTGCAGTCAGTCAACATTTAATCTAAGGTAAGGAGGACCAGCTGTGTCAAGTTAAGACACCTCATGAAGACCCTTGTCCCCTGGCTATCAATTAGGCTGGGACTCAGATCCAAGTGGATTCCGGCTCGGCTGCTGAAGGAGGTTTATGCCTCGATGCAAACTTCCACGAGACCCTTCCTAGAGGATCACACTCCATCGGGCAAACAGGAAAATGATTGTGAGTACAGTACATATTTCTGTGTTTCCTTGTGTCTCCTGCTGTGGGACAGTTCTGAGATTAGTGGGGTCTCCTGCGGTCACTGAACACACAACAGCAAGGGGATTTGGAGTCAATGGGGGACAGGGTTGGAGGGGGTGATGTGCAACACCAGTGTGAAGTTTTTAAATTCCCAACATCTGGTGGAAGTAACAGCAGGGGGGGGTGAACACAGGAGTTTGACTTCAACCTGTCTTCAAGAGGCTGTTGGCGGTCCCTGACAAATTGAGAGTGGTGTTGGATTGTACATGGTGCTATTATAAACAGGTATCTGTCCTGCCGTAGTCCCAGCACAGGGGAGGGCTCTACATGTTGCCTGAGTGCAACCATCATTCACTCCCTCCGTGTTCCCGGCTGAGGAGGCTTTTTAGTCCTCAACAAAGGTTTTTCTTCTTTCTTTTCTCCTATTTTTAGGATCACAGTTTTCATGTCATCTCATCCACAGTTTACTATTATATATATATAAAAAAAGCCTGGGGGGCATGAAAAATGTAATCTCAGGAACAGCGAAGCTGGTCATCTGGGTTGCAAGCAAAAACCAAATTAAAGGTGTGGATTCCGAGGATATTGGTGTTTTGTAGAGGTTTTCTCACTGCAGGGCTCAGTGTTGAATCAGGGTTTTACAAACTAACGAAACCGAAGATTAAACCCTGTATGATGTACTTATTATTTCGGTTTTATTCATTTAAATTGAGCCTGACCACCAGATTTCAATACAATGCATTGTTTCGGTGAATTTAAATACATTTTGTTTCGGTGATTTAAATAAATCACGATTGTTTAAAAATATTGTTTTTCTTAATTTCTTCCTTCGAAATGTTTTAATTAACATTTTAATGTGCGTAGAAATTCTAAAAAAAAAAAAATTGAATCAGGATAAACGATTCCACAGGCGATAGTCTGCTTAGTAAAGCTTAGCTTTAAATGTTGATTGGCCTCCGTTGTTTTGGGGCATTAGTTTTGATAACAAAGAGCTGCGGAGTTCTTACGCTGCACTAATCATCTGCCATATCTGCTGCAGCATTGACACATCCAGCCCGGCGTGAGTGTGTCATTAACAGGCCATTCAGAGTTAAATGCAATCACTGGGTCCGATTAACGTCTGAACAGGGGAATCCACGTTCCTTCACAGCAGTGGCGCTTCCACCCCTTCATCTGTCCCCTCCACGGCTCCTCTGCCCATGTTATTAGCCGGGTAAATATGCAATAAGTCCCCGTTTTCCTTGAATGGGAGCTATAATGGGCCGTTATCTTATCCCATGCGAGGCGGGGGTAGCGTGTCTGTGTGCCGCAGACCCCCAGAGAGGGGGATGTTGTCTGGGAGGAAACGCGGTGATCAGCTCCCCGTGGAGAGGGGAGAAGAGGGAAGCCGAGGTTGGGTAATAAGATGAATCTCAAATATAATGCTCTCTGTCTGACGAACACACACGTGCGCAAACATGTTATTAATTCACAGAATGTGATCACGTGTATTTGTCCAGGAAATATTTTACTAAATTATTACACATGTATCCCTGACATGGGGCGGAGGGTTATTGGCAATGTAAGGAATTTTATAATTTTTTTTTTATAAATTTCATTTACTTTTTTTTAATTAAATAGTTTTGACGACGTAGACATGATGCTCCGTGACTCCGCGTAAAATCACAGATTTAAACTATTAGTAATAGCGAGTAAACGACACACACACAAAACTATCAAAGTACATAACGTAATACTACGTGTACTATCCATATCTCCTTTCAAGACAGAGGAGAACATATTAGAAATGAAATAGTGTTGTATTCGGGGTGCGGTTTTTTTCATTGGTCATCAGAGACTACTAAAATAATAATAAAAAATAACAAAAAAGGAACACGCAAAACCACATTTGTCATTTGTATAAACGACACTGATATTGTATTTAGTATTTTTTTATTACCATAGTCGTGACGCTGGAACCACAAACTCCACTAGTCCGTTAGAATCACGGGGTTCTAGAATAAAGGAAAAGGCCTTTTATTATAAACTGTATGCATCAAACGGTGGTGCCTTCACTGACGTCAGAAACATTTCGGTAACTGTGTAGAAACACCATTTCACCCCCTTCGGATTAACCTAATTCAATTAATTCTTAATTCACAAATGATCTGCGGCTAATCTCGCCGTTAGTCGGCCTGACGTCAGCAGCATATAAAAGCAGCCGTGCCCTCTGATGGTCTCAGTCGGTCAGAGCAGCAGTCTGCAGGCGCTCACTCACAGCCAGACGCATCAACCATGACAACGTTCTAAGAAACGCAGTCCTTTCAGAAAGATCGAGAAAATCCCAACCAGAGGTTTCACTTCCACGTGTTGACTGAAACTTTTCCATCCACTCCCGGTTCCCCTCGTGTCTGCCTGTGTAATGCCCGCCGGGATGTTTAACATCGACAGCATCTTGTCCGCCAGACCGAGTTGCAAGGAGCCGCTGCTGCTACAGAGGAGCGCTCCGGTGGTGCTGTCCACCGGCCTCACGGATTCTATCTACGCCGACTACAGCTCACTCTACACGGCCACGTGCGGACCCTCCTCGGCCAGCATTCACTCTGCAGTCAACGGGACCCGGATCGGATATAACGGCTACTACTACGGACAGCTGCAGATCCAGAGCGCAGGAGGAGGAGGAGGAGGAGGGCCGCCGTGCTGCGGCCCTGTGAGCGGCCTCAGCCCGCAGCAGTGTCCATGTTTACCTACAGGTAATCGCCGCAGGATCCCGGTCACTCTTTAAGGATTGTGTCGAAACACTCTTTGGTCGTGAGCTTTAGACGTGGTGGTGTTCACCGGTGGACTGGTTATGATCCCAGCAGTAATTCTTATCTACAAATATATATGCAGTATAAGTACGGAGATACACACAGGAAGATATGAAATAAAACGGAACACATACTATTATTTCCTAAACACTGTGTAAAGACGACTGGATTTAACATAAGAAATGTGCATTTTACAAGTATGATGAGTTTGATAAAAGAATAATTTTTGAGGAATTTCGTGACACGCCCCTCACCCCCACAGAGGGACCCTGACTCTGGTGATTTTCATGTTTTTATACGATTTGTATATATTGATTCAAATCTACTTTTGGAAAAGTTTTATATACTTTCAAACGTACGCTGAAGATATAAAAAAAAGAGTTTTAGTGATTTGTTTAAAAATGTTTACACCCATGGACCGTCATCCATCAGAGTTTCTCCTTTTCCTTCTTCTTCATATTATTATTGTTGTTGTTATTATTGTTATTATTATTGACGTGTCTGCCTTACCCCCTGACTCTGCAGGCTACGAAAGCCCGGCCTCGGTGCTCCTGTCCCCGGTGCCTCATCAGATGGTGTCCTACATGAACATGGGCAGCCTTTCTCGCAGTGAACTGCAGCTCCTCAACCAGCTGCACTGCCGCAGGAAACGCCGGCACCGCACCATCTTCACCGACGAGCAGCTGGAGGCTCTGGAGGGCCTCTTCCAGGAGACCAAGTATCCGGACGTGGGCACCCGAGAGCAGCTCGCCCGCAAGGTGCATCTCCGAGAGGAGAAGGTCGAGGTCAGAATTGTTCTTTTCTTTTTCTAATTCAATCAAAGAAATGTCCAGCGATAGGCGAAGTTAAAAATTCAAACTTCTTCGCAATTATTATGACAGTATTGTTTACCGTTGTTATGACGTAGTAGCTGATCTGCGCCACGGCATTCGCTTTTGTAATTCCTGAGCCGAGGTCGGGACTAGAGTATGGCAGGAAATTAATAACAATTATAATAATAATCAAAAAACCAAAATCGGAAAAATAACAACAGTAATAATAATAACGAGACAGACAATTGATCTGTGATAGACGTTGGCTGCGGGCGTACACAACTCATTCATGTTCAATCGGCAACAATTGCTCTATGAGAGCAATATTGAAACAATATTTTTGTTCTATTGAAAATAATTCTTAAACAAAATGTTAAAAAATTTTGTAAAACTTGAGCACAATTTTGCACGTACATTTAAAAATTTCCAAGAATATCTGTTTGGTTGAGATTAATTATTATTATTGTTATTATTATTTAAAAGAAAAAACAAATAGTTTAATAAGCATTTTTAGTTAATGCTTCTAAATTGTACTGTTTTTAAATATTTTTGAAACGACTAAGCAAACCAAAGAATAAGGTACAGATATTGAACATAATTTGAGTTCAGGGACATTTCGTCCATTTTAGAATGTTTTCTTGACGAGGCTTTGCTAAATTACTGGGTAATGTGACATTTTATGGACAGTGAGAGTCAAGATCAAGAGAGTATCTGTAACCGTGCTATTGAATAGGCTACAGCTCAGTTAATGTAGTAGTACAGTACAGCACATACAGTATTTGTGACTGCAGATACTACTTGTACACATACATGGATAGAACACGGAGTACGTCGTATAGTTTGTCCTGTAGATGTAACAAAAATAAAATCATAACCAGAGCTTGATCAATCACTTCATTAATAAATATTACATTTGACTGAGACAAGCAGCATTAGTTAAGAGAGAACAATGTTAACTCATTTACGTGGAACCACAAGAGCTCGGCACAAGCGCGGAGCTGCAGCTCTCCGCTCTTTTATTTAGTTTCCAAAACATTATTCAAACCAGGTCGATGTTATTAATGTGAGCTATGATAGAAACTTGATAGAGAATGGAGCTCTGACCCCGTCTGTCCGTGCAATAAAAACTTGATAGAGACTGGAGCTCTGACCCCGTCTGTCCGTGCAGGCTAACGCGAGGTGAATTGCGCAAGAGTAAATCTAGAGAAAACATGTGTGTCCTTGGTAGGAGTTATTGAACAGCCAATGAAGACGCAGTTTTGTCTTTCTTAATCACGCATAGGTTTGGTTTAAGAACAGACGCGCGAAGTGGAGGCGGCAGAAAAGGTCTTCGTCAGAGGAGTCAGAAAACTCGCAGAAGTGGAACAAATCCACCAAATCGCCCACGGAGAAAACCGAGGAGAGTAAAAGTGACGTGGACTCGGACAGCTGATAGTCACAGTGACTCTGGAAACGTGACGCGCGCGCGCCCGTGTGGGTGCGTGCGTGCTTGTGTACATTCTTAGTGGAAAGTGACGTGGACTCCACATGCATATTGATTGTGGTGGTGTGATGAACCGTGTTGCACAGCTGTAAATATCTACATTTTATTATGGGTTCCATGTGCTCTATTTATATTTAATTTAATTTTGTTTTTGCATAATATAAGTGCACGTTGCAGGGTCGTGTCTGAAAATGTTATGTTCTGTGCGACATTTTATGGATATTATAGATGTGGTCGTTCTTACATTTGATTTCCGCTGTTAACATGATGAGCTGCGGCCGCTCAGCGCCTGCGGCGGCACGAGGCGCCCAGCTGCTGCAGGAGGGATAATATACCCATGGTTTGTCAGTTTACTTTGAAGAAATATATCAAGCTACCTAGAAGACAAGGAGTATACATTAAAATATACGTGAACCGTGTCAAATATGGTGTCTTTGGGTTTTTTATTATAACCATTGCTAATATTATTTGCTAATAATATTTAAATGCGGGACTACAGAAATGAAACACATTAACCAAACTTTAGTTTATATACACGCTATAAAGAATGATGACCATATTTCAACCAATACAGAGGCAGCGGTAAAAGAGACGAGTCTTTCCTTTTCATCATTTCATACCTGACCATCTCTTTCTATTAAAAACTACCATCAACACCGATGTTCTGGGTCAATCTTTTTTTTTGTTTTACTCCAGTATCAAATATTCATTTTTACTCATCCTTGATCCTTGTATTTGCTTTATCCCGCTTGAATATATTCTTAATCAGACCGTGTGCGCACATGTCAAATATTGAATCAATATAATGTAAGGCAGTAAGGCAGACTATTTGCCCCCAACAAATCTAATCATGCGGACGACATGGCATTGGACTTGTGTTTTGAAAATCTAAATCTAAAACTGTTGTTTTGTGTGCGTGGCATTTTCCCAGACTTGTCAGTTGTGATACGTTAGTGTCTGAAAGTGGACAGTACAGTAAAAAAAAACAAAAAAACAGGTTAGTAAATGAGATGTGTTAAAAGGCTAACAATACATATTTTTAGGATTTAAGAAGGTTACATTTTAGCGAGTAGAAAAGTAATTCCAAAAGACACTTCCAAGGTATTGCTGTTAAAAACAGGAAACGAGGCGATGGCTGCTCCATTTACACATAAAACGGATCTTCCTGGCACGGTACAGAGGGGGCCACATGCTTTGGAAGAACATGCCGTGTTTTTTCGTCAAAATAAAATAAAATACTGAGGTCAAACAAAATGAGCTCAAGAAAAATTTCAAGCTGTCAAAAACATGAAAAAAAACCCCAATAATTAAAACCACATATCAAGATATTTGCCATAACCATAATCTGCCTTGGTATCTTTTGAAGGTGACTCGTGATTTTCGTTGATAGATTTTCTGTTGATTAGATTAAACTTGACCGCCTTTTTTATTTCCCTGGTTAGAATATTGTCTGATTATTTTATGTTTCTTTCTTAGTTTGTTTTTAAGCAGGTCACCGCTTTTCTAAGTCAACATTTCGTGTCTAGCTCTTCGAACCAGGTTTTCCACCACGTCTCTCACTCGGTGATCGTTCATTATTATTGTGTTTTTCCGATATGGATATGTATTATTTTACATTAAACATTTTACAACTATCAGGCCATGAGTGGAACGACATGAACGACGATCTTTAACGTTCAGCATAAACCACAAAGTAGATTTTCCAACGGACTGTGTTGGTCCACAGGAGTTACGGTTCACATAACATAATATTAATGTGATTAAACTTGTTTTTTATATTTTATTTCTAGTTTGATCTTATCTTCTGATATAATTTTCAACATTTAAAACAATACATATAGACATAGACTCTTGAGTCCTGGCTTATCGTCGGGACATGTCTTCAGTTATACAGTACATTCACTCACTATATTTATTGCTATATCTAAACGACCGTTAGCTAGCTTTACTAGCCTAAAGCTATTTTTACTTTTTTTTTATTTTACGATTACCAATTTCCGAGCAACAGTGTTACGAATTTGCTGTATATTCACTACAAATACTTTAAAGGGACCTAGACAGTGAATGATTCATCCACAGCCCACGGTAGCAGCGTTAATTATTCTGCTAAAACAGCAAAGGAGGCTAACTGTCCTCTAGAATGTTGGCACATAAATTGTCAGCTCTATACCCTATTACTGTTTTACATGAATGCGCTAAAGTACAATGCACTAGACAGGACTAGTTTATTCAACATCAGCTGTTTATCTACACGTCTGATGCGATTATTGTCCCTGCTCGGAGGGGGCAGCCCATTAGCACCTGCTGAGATTTAATGGGTTTAAATGACGAGGCAGCGGTAGCTTTACAGCCGAGTCGATTGGGTAACCGTGGAAAACAAAGCGTTTCCTTCACGGACGGCGGGCATTGTTGGCAGTCAGTGATCAGACGACCTGTTGTAGAAAGTGAACCACTTTTTTTTGTTGACTTTTTGAAAAGCATTTCCTGTGTCAGTCCAAAGGCAAACAGCGAGCATTCAATAAAAACCCGAGCCTTGTTTTAGTTGTTTCTATTATGTGCTGTTTTACGGATCCAGTTGTTTATTTATATATTTTTATCATTGTTCACAAAATAGGTTACAAAACACGTTTTAGAAAAAAAAATGCATTAGCAGAAAATGCGTAATGCTCTTAATAAAGTTGTTAAAATGCAGTGAATTTGAAAGTAACTCAATTCACATTCAGCCTCAGAGAATTAAAAATAAGGAAATATACTTTGGCTCAGAGACAAATTGAAACTTAAGAAATCCCTGACCTAACTGTTAAAATGACACACTCAATAAGGACGCCTGGTGTCATTGGCATTAAATAAACAACAACCATTTTAAGTAAAACCCTCTGTCTTACACAGTTTTCTGGTCAAGTATAAATTCTTGACCTTCGTGTCAGTCTCAGATGGATTTCATACACTCCTGTTCCAAAATGTAAATGTGCTCTGGAACAGAGAATTGGAATAAATTTCCAGTGAAAAAAAAGTGAGAAATAGAGATTTGTTTTAATTAATAAAACGCAGTTAGCACAGGCCTTATGACTGAGTGGTTTCTCATGTCCGCACGAGTTAATCATACTGTTGTATGTGTTTATTTTATACATCACAAGCACCAGTTTTTCTCAAGTTGAGATAAACAGATTAAATCATAAAATTGAAAACGATGCAATCATTTTTGGTCATCAGCGGAAATGAAACAATATTCAATAATATTGGCGTCAGGAAGTGCATTTGTTCAACGGGCAAAGAGCGGAAATGGAGCTAGGTGGCAGTGTCAACAGGTAAGTTGATCATTATTTTTTAATGCTTGTGTCAAGGAAAGTTTATAGTCTATTTCCGCAACATCGGTGTTTTGGTACAGTGTGAAGTAATGCCACATTCCGTGTAATTTTTAGTATTCTTAGTTACATATATGTGTGTGAGTTTGTTGCTTTTTAACATGTCAATTCTAGCCAGCTAGCTAGCTAGCTAGCTAGTACCCCTTGAAAATTGTAGTGATACCCACGACCGTCCCGCAGTCAAAAACGGTTGGACTGCAGGCAGGCCGACAGAGACGGGTAGTTATTCAACCTTTTGTGAGAAATTCCAAAGCTTCAGTTCATGTTGGTTAAGCGGTTAGTGATTCAGCTTGGAGTCAGGTGGCGGGGTCGTATACAGTAATTAAACAACTTAAAGAACATGGTATGTACAGGAGAGAAAACTAGGTATGTAGCATTTTCGTCCAAAAATAGCTGTGATACCGAAAATAAACTAGTAGAACTAGTACTAGGTCTGACAAACCACTGATATTCTTCATCAAGTTAATCACAAGGTGCCTGTAGACTAAGTTTCAAGGTTTATGACTAGTCGTGATTAATCAAAGTAAACTGTCAGACCTGGCAATATACATTTTTTTCTGTAAATGTATAGAACAGAAAAATAAAATAATATAACAATAATAATAAAATAGCTAGAGACACAAGTAGATGTGTGTTTCACATTATTTTTCTGTATATTCCAAAATATGGAATTGTTAATATACGGAATGCTAAGAACATTTTTAAGTGTTTACCTCAAATTCTACTGTAAATATGCAATGACTGTTTTTCCATAGTGGATGTATTTTAGTCATTAACATGTCCATCTTAACGATGACTTGTAAAACGTGTCCAGAGTTGCTCTCAAAACTTCTGTGAAGCCGTTCTTCTCCACAATATTACAGTAATCGGTGTACAGTCAGCTAGCTGTCAGACAGACGGCGGTTTGTGAGGCTGGTCTGAAGCGTTTGACTGGAAGTTGAAGCCTCTGGATCAGGTGATATTTAAAGGTGCACGTAATAAAACAAAAAGTTCGTATCGACTATATATCAGAGCAACGGTGTGGAAATGGTCGGTTGAATTATATGATATATAATGCGTGTCAATATACCCATTGCTCGAATACATTAGATTTTTTAAGAACATGAATCTGCACAAATGGATCATTACATTAACGCGTTCATTTCGACAGCGCTAATTAGGTCACAGGTGTGCAGCTAGTGCTTATGTAAACATAGATGTGCTCCCGTGAAATTGTATCGCTCACCAGCACACGCATTAACAAATGACCTTTTTTTGTGACAGCAGTAAATAAACAGAAAAGCGCCCAGAATAACATATAAATCCCGTTGGGTTAATCGGTGAGGGTTCGGGGTATTTTGTTGTTGTTGTTGTTGTTGTTTTTGTGTGTTTGTTTTTTTGCTTTCATTTTAGTTTTTCTTTTTTACACCTCTACGCATTTATCTCTTTGAGATTAATGCTTTTTAAAGTCGTAGTGAAAAGTGAGCCTATCACAAAGGCTAATTAAAACATGTAAAATTATAATTATTAATAAAACATAGTCCAGATCTTTTCTACCTCTGCACCTGTCATATTTATTTATTTGGCATGGATGCAAATACCATCAACACTGGCATAGAACAGATGTCACCATGTTGGGGATTTATGCTTTTAAAGAATATGCTTAAAATAAGGACTCAGAGGACATTGACATCCTCCTAACAGAAAGGTTGTAGATAATGGAGCATAAATGTGAACCTCCCGTAGTGCCAAAGATTTTCATAGAACTGGATGGAGGTGCACTTCCTAAAAAGGCACTACCTCCTCCAGTGTAAGATGTAGGGATAAAGCACTGCCACCAATAAACCACAAGACGTTTTAATTCAATAGCACTTTTGGTAATGCAATGTATGGACTGCTTTTTCCCTTCTTAATTCTTTGTTGTTAAATGTAATAGCATTTGTCTCATATACATACAGTTTGCACCATGATAGTCTGGTCAACAGATAGAGGATAAGATAAAAAAATAAAAAACAAAGGATCAATCGCTGCCATGATCACTTTTTTCCTTAACAATGACAGACTATAATGTAGCTGTGATGAAATAGCAGTGGATATACAGTATAGTCATAAATAAACATCAAAGGTCATCACACTGGGTCTCTCTCTCTTTCCCCCTCACACACACACACACACAGTTCGGTCATTACACACAGGTATGAACTAGCAAAACTCTTAAATTTAGAGATGAGCAGCATATCATTTCAAATATGTTAAGAAACCGCTACAAATTATATCATGCGAGTCCTAATGTTTGTACAGAAAGGATGAAGGGCAAATCACTGTTGATTACGTGTTGTTCTTGCCGAGATGAAAAGAAAGCACTGTGTTAATAAACGATATATATGAAACGTGTTTTAGTTTGAAAAAAAACATTATTGGATTATTTTCTGATCACAAACGGCAAAGTCTTTGGAAGAATTCCAAAACTAAGGATGTGCGTTCACCGTTCTACTCTGAGTTG